CCGAAACATTCATCCGTTTTGAAGTTGCCATTTGGTTTTAATCATATCGGTTTGATGGCGTTTACAATCTTTATCAAGCCACTCATTTTACTTTTCATTTTTTTGTTCGTTTTAAGTTTCATCAGTTTAAGGTCGCACTTATAAAGATATCACTAAAGCTTTCCGTAGCAACGTTTATCCTATTTAATGAGCTGCCGAGGTTTGAAAGGAGGAAAGCGGTTAAGCGGTTTACCGAGTCTAACTGTTTTAGACTAGATTTGAACGACTGATCGGAGCCCGTTGACCAAACAAAATTAGCAGCATGCAACTTGCTGTCTTTATTAATTGGATTTACAGATATGTTGACCATCTTGGTTTATTTCTCTGAGAATAGTGACCGGTCTGACCTGGACTGAACTCACAATAGATGAGACAGTCCGATCAGAAAATGCGTTAATCTGTTGTTTGTAGAAATATGCGAATGGTTTGTCTGAATTCTGTTGATATCTGTAAGGTAATTCTTTGTGTTTGGGAGCAGTGTCTTTATTTTGGAAGTTGTCTAACTTTTCACCTTCCTTACATTCTGCAGGTTTTTATTTATTTTTCGTGGACCAGGGTTGTGTTCCTTACGTTGTTCCTTATTTTTTGGTTCCGTAAATTCAAGCTGCGTGTTCGGTAATTGTTTGTTTCATGTCAGCAGTTACTGACAGCACTTCCTGCTTGTTTCACATTATCCTGTAATAACTAGATGGCCATTTTTAAAACATTTTTTACTTGCTATTCGGGTAGTTTGTGTTTCCCTCTGGTAATATAGTTGTAGTGGTTATACCCGAATTATTCGTACCTGAATTCCACAAACCTGTCATATCTATAGTAGGCATGGAATCATCCGAGTCATCCTGTACTTGCACAATTGGGCTGCATATATCTGCCATATTGGGTGTACGCAGTGGAGACTTGGGTACGTTATCACAGGTAATATTAGGGACCTTTCGCATCGGCACGAAAACGAACACCAAAACGAACATATGTTCGTTTACGTTTTCGTATCCTCTTACGAAACATTTTCGTTTGCATACCTACGCGAATCGAGCTCCACACGCGTAACGTTTTTCACAGGCCGAACACTCATTACGGGTTGACGTCACAAATACACACGAATCGATGACGTTTTCGTTCCGATGCGAAAGGTCCCTATTAATAACTGGGTGCGAATTGTCTTTGGGTATACCTTCTAGTCGGATTGATGTAACACACAATTTTGTTTTTTATTATCGAACTTGTTGGAAGAAATGGGCTTTGGCGTTGTTTCCCAATGCTTCATGAGTCTGTGATGTTCCCCTCTTTATCATCCATTAATGGGGTCAAACGTTTTATGTTATTATACGCATAATGCGTGTAAAGGAATTCCGAACTTTGAAATACAGTTCGTCGGCTTATTTGCGGTTAATAGGTCTTATTATAGCCTGATGATCAGCTGATATCAAAGTTCTATAATTCTATCCCTTCACAAGCCCACAACATTTAGTATGATATGAATTAATAGGGTAACTGTTCTGGATTTGTTTTACACAAACATTTGTAGAAGATGACGCTACTCTCCCAATTTGATCAAAGTTATTAACTGCTGATATAAAAGTATTGTTTTGTTTTCATGAGTTGCTGTAGAAAACCTCTGCACATCGACAAAAAGTACTATAATAGCCAGAACTGAATTGAAATACTGCACCCCTCCCCCTGAGGGTAAAATATGTTAAGTTTGTAGAAATTTATCTATATGGATTCGTATTGCTTTAAATGGCATATCGGGACTTTTAAGCTGGCCTTGTACCCTTCACCAGTTATCATTTTATTGATGTGTTTTGTACGAAATATAGCTCTTAGATTGTCACGAACGTAATTATCACATAAAAGTAATTAGCTTAGATTTTTGAGGATTGGTTTTGGCAAGCTAAAACACAATTAAACGATATTGGTCTCTGTACGTTTCCTGTAGTTCGATTAGTTATTCATTCCGTTGAAGCGTTCTTTGCACATGATATACTTGTGATCGATACATGCTTCTACTTCTTTTAAGGCCTGTATACACACTCAGAATTATTTGTTGTCGACAACCCGACCTCCCCACGATGACAATATGTCAGCTAAAAGACTCCACCATAGACATCACCGATTACACGTCAAGGACCTGCCGGCGAGGACATGTTGAGTCTACCAACGTTTGTTTAACCGTTTATCCATAAGTGTTGACCTAAACAAACAATCTTCGTTATAAAAGCATGTAGGCGATCATACTAATTTGTCACGTAAAAGCGGGGAATCGAAACAACACCCTTTGACTCAATAGTTGCGTTTACACTTGGCCGCTATAAGCGTTCTGCTCTCGGAACCGTTCCAGGCCGCGATACATTTGTAGAAAATGGCCCGTTTACATTACTCTACGATTACCCGTCATGGATTTAAACAATTATGGCGGGTAATTTAGTTACGTTTGGCACACTCTTTCTTATTTTATTTTTGTTATTTAGAGTACGAAAGAAATCAAGAAGTGGTCAAATTAACTGTCTCTTCGATCGTCCATACAGTTCCTCGGGCAGCCATTTTGACAGAACTATTTAAAGCGCATGGGGGTAAAGGGTCCACGTTTATTTGAAGCATGCGGAATAATCCATACTGAGAACACTTCTCAGACATAGCGTTTATATTACGAAAATTGAACCGTGCAGTACCGAGAACCGTTCAGAGACCACCTTAATTTAGTGATCCAAATTGGAACGGTTCTCAGTACAGAACGTTTATGTTTGGCCCGTTTACACTGCAAAAAATTTAACCGTGTGTCCTCAGAACCGTAATGTAAACGGGGCTAATGACAGACCTTGTGATCTAAAAGCGTACGCGTTAAATGTTTAGTGTTCGCAGGACTTGAACGTCAATTATGTTGTCGAGATCTACCCAACGTATGGCTTCATTGCTTTTAAATTGCATAAAATGGCTTCTGTATGATTTTTACTTCAATAACATACATGTAATAGTTGTTATGTCCACTTTTCTGTTTTCACTGGAAGTTACATGTCTGATAAAAAATATTTATAACATGATTTCAACAATGATTATAGAGTTCAGTTTCCGTTTGACGTTAACAAAGTTGACAGGTGTAAGAGATATCAAGTATATATGCCAGCCTTTTGTTTTAAGCCTCATTTTGCGTGGGAAGATGTTCATGCAACGAATTCATTTAAACTATCTACATGTAAGACCCTTTGATATTGTATTAAATCTGTCGGGGTGGGGGAATGAGATAACGCGTGCACTGTGGGTCATAAAGTCAGAGGCGGATTACCCCATAGGCAATGTAGGCAGCTGCCTAGTGCCCAAGAAAATTTTCGACGATCTTTTTAAATTTGACGAACGTCACTCGGTTGTGTCGGCCGTTCACTTTCATTTTAAAAACGTTCTTGCAATTTTCTCTTGAACTTTGTCTTTCTTTCATTACGTGAAGGCCGCCTCATTTCGACGTCGATCCAGATTTTCCGGCGTGGTTCCCCCTTGTCATCGATGCAGGACGGAGGGGCTGACAAGGACAGGTGTCTAGTCCTTCGGATGAGACGAAAAACAGAGGTCCCGTGTATACATTGGAATGCACGTAAAAGATCCCTTGGCAGTTGGAATTCGATATAAGAGTAGGCGATAGTGCCGCTGCCCGGGCAAAATTTCCCTCATAGCACACTGTATGGCGTATGCCCGTCTTCATTAGCCCAGTATAGGAGCAGAACAGTAGGACGTTAAACCCCATTTCATTTCATTTCATTTCGGCGTAGTTCGGCTCGGCGTTGATATGGCCCAAAGGCAAAGGTGTGGATGGGAGAAGAGAGAACAGAAAAAAACATGAAGCGAATGCTGAAAAAAGCGGCAATCTAAGCGGTCTTAGTTTTACTACGGCAAACCAGTTCCGCAAAGGGCTCAGCTGGTCGAGCTGCCTAGGGCCCATCAGAGCCTTAGTCTGTCTCTGCATTAGGTCTGTGATTGAGTCAACTAGCGTGGTTTCGATTCCCATGCAGCTTTATTTTATTTATTATAAGATTTATTGAAATAAAACTGAACCATATTATTATTATATTAGTCCCGAAATGGCCTAGTTTGTGTCGAGTGGAAACTCCATTTGTCTATCTCTAAATTTATCGACTCTGCCGCCAAAAGTTGTAAATGTTCTACACAGCCGGGAGCCGCAATGACTTAGTGAGTAAGACCTTGACTTACTAACCCGGGCGTCTCCGGGTCGCTCTCTGTGTTGGTCGAGAAGGTTTCTTGGGATTGTCTGGCGTGGTTCCCTTTGTCAGTGGTGCAGGGCTGAGGGCCTGACAAGGAACAATGTCTAGTCGATCGGATGGGACGAAAAACCGAGGTCCCGTGTACATACTGGCGTGTATGTAAAATAACCCGCTCAAAATGTTCCGCATAGCACACTGTATGGGGTATGTCCGTCTTCATTAGCCCAGTCGGTGCAGAACACTAGGACGTTAAACCCAATTACATTCCATTTCTACACCGCCGAGATATTTATTTGGGAATTTCAAACCTGTTTCAATGTCCATGAAAAAGTAGTCAATGAATAGAGACGCCCGATTTGTGGACGGGTATAACATTTTGCATGCGCCAGATTAATAAAGGTTCCCTAGACAAAGATAAATCAGAACAAATAACCGAACCGTAAAAGAAAATAAATTTGAAAAATAAAATGAAACAAAATCGGGATATGGTTTTAGTTACATTGAAATAGAAAGTACCATATTTAGCAACATGAAAACAATATCTGTCGTCAGCAAAATTATATAATACTAAGGCGAATCAGTCAATAATCGTATATAACAAAAAGGTAAATCTTAACAATTAAATGGAACGAAATATGGTTATGATATGAATTCGACTGAGATCGAATGATATATTTATAAATAGGACATTAATAACCCATTTCTGACGTGAGCAGGGCGTCCTGAATGTTTAATCTCTATTTTTAATTTCAGTTTTGTATTATTGTGGTGATTATATTTATAATACAGTTAGTAGCTGGAATACTAGCCTTTGTTTTTGTTGACGGAATCGAAGTCCAAGTTTTAGACTATATGAAACATTCTATTGGACATTACGATGAGAATGCTGATATTAAAGATATGATTGATCAAATACAAAAACAGGTAATGTAAGATTAACTCGCTTCGCGATCAATGAAGTCATTACTTGCAATCACATCTTTTTTGTCTCGAGTTTTGACTACATGCACATTTAATTACATTCATTTATTTTATCAACAATATTTTTATTTGGGATATACCCGTCGTTATTAGCCCAGTCGGAACAGAACAATGGGACTTTAAACCTCATTTCATTTCATTTATTCAGGATATAATATGAATGGGATTGGGGACCAGGCTTAGCCTATCACAGAGAGAGAGAGAGAGAGAGAGAGAGAGAGATGAGGTCATTTCGGGACCAACATATAGTTTAATTTTATTTAAATAATTCGCTTACGGGGGACCCGGAGAAAACCCACGAAGATGAACAGGCGACCCCACTCCTTCTCACGTACAACCTGGAAATCTAAACCACGCCAATTGACTCAATGACAGATCCTATGATACAACGCGCACGCGCTAACCATTCGGCCATCCAACCATCCATGTTGTTGTGCAAACGCACAGAATTACCTTGATTATTTTGACCTAAATCTTAAAGATGCCTTATGTAAGAGCTAAATCTGCCTATTGCAAATGTTAAATAAACTATTATTTAGACGTGTAGTAACATAACAAGCCTCCCTATAATCAACTCTCTAGAACATTAGATGGCCCAGATTTAAAGGGATTTAAACATCCGCGAGATTGAAAAAATTAACGATAAAATTAACAATCGACGCTAGGTTGGTTATCAAGTACCATTGCTACGATAATGAACGATATACGCAATATATTCGAACAGTCATAACTTCGCTCAGCATACGGTAATTTGAATGAATTTTTTAATATATTCATTTTTCATTATCTATTTTTGAACTATTAAAGCAAGGCCGTTCAACTTTTTATCTAAATCTTCCATAATACTGTACCTTTAACACTTGACTTATTTTCTATTTCAGTACAAATGTTGTGGTGCTGCTAGTTATAACGACTGGGAAATTAATATCTATTTCAACTGTTCATCCACGGCCGTGTCAAGATGCGGGGCGCCCAGTTCATGCTGTAAAGTATCCGGTAATGTACAATGTGGATACAACGTCAGAGGTTATGGGGTAAATATATTTTGAATAAAATTCGGCTCCGAAGCGTACCAAAGATGACGGGTTCGCCCTGGGTAATAGCTATGAGACAAGTGCTACTCGTGTTGAAATACCAGTACAGGCCAACTCAAAGAATCGCCAATATAAAAATAATTCACTTGTATTTGCAAAAAATGATATCAATACAGGACGAGAATGAATGCCAAGGCACGCCCGCTGTTGCTAAATATTGTTTTTGTAGTGGTTTGTTTCAACAGATTTCAAAGCTTTATTCTCCCCAATTAAACTAAGAAATTTGGTGATCAGAAAAAAAGAAACAACCGTAAGACAATAACATTAAAAACAAAGAAAAACAAAAACCACCAAAAGAAGAGTTCTTCTCGGCACACGCCGGCAGTTGAGCCAATATTTGGTTATTTGGCCACGGTTCTAAAAACAATACTGAGTACCTTTATTTGTGAATATCAAACACCTATTCCAATTTGGGTGTTTGAAAGAAAACTGCTTGACGAGTATTTCTATATTCCTAAGCACGTCATCTGACGTGAAAAGCATATCAGCTAACCCTTGTATGTCTTTAAAACGTTTATTTACGTATCGTCCATACATAATTAACTAGTTTTATTCACTGAAATCTTTGTGGGATATCTTCAGTTGTATTTATAGTTTCTCTTAATTGCGATGGCTTTGATCAGCCAAAAGCGCGAAACCCGATTAACGAAAGGAAGAGTGTGATATGGATTCACCGACTATGATTTATTTTCGTCTATTTTTTTTTATTATTATTTTATTTTGATTATTTTTTTTTTTTGACCAGGAACTGGTCGCTAACCGCTGATTTTCTTGTTCTTGGGGTGACGCTCTTCGAAAAAGCCTACGACTCCGTCAATTCAAGTCCGATCGACATGAATATTGGCATGCTTGTTCTTTGACAATAGAATTCTGCATCGATTTGGTGAATTAGATTTCTGAATGTCACCCAACAACATGGTCAGTTCCTCGTTCATAATACTTGTTTTATAGTAGAATTACCAGACATTACACAACGAAACGAAGCAATACTATGCGATGTATGTCTTTTTTATTCCGGCTTGTACAGAATTAAAAACGTCGAGAAATGTGGTTTGACGATCGGAATTCGTTTCTTTTCCTCTTGATTTTTATTCTTTCCCAATAATTAGAACTAGAGCGCACTTCACGATGAAACGAACTGATTGTGCAATGTACATGACACAGAAATACTGTATTATGATTGCATGATCAGTAGGTAGTCAGGTGTCTATCTGTTTGTAATACATTCTATAATATTTAGCTGCCATTTTGAATTTATGCAAATTAGGTCCATTACCCGACCCTAAAAACAGAGAACTTGTAGAGGTTGTAGGATATGATGTAGAGGTTGGTTCCATGAACACAATGGTACAAGAAACCTTCTGTTGCAATTTGTTCTAGGTTGCTCTAAGATTTAATGGACTATACAGCCGCACATCTAACATTTGCAAAGGAATGATAAAATGTGGAGGTGCCTATTTTACATATCTTTTAAGCACACCCTTTACCCTTCTCATATTTATTTAATACATATTATTTTTCTTTTGTTACGTGAGAGCGTATGTTGCAACGCATGCGTGTCAGATCACGAGGTCTGCCTTTGAGTCAATTGGTGTGTACGAGACAAAGAATAAGGTCGCGTTAGATCACGGGGCCTGTCTTTGAGTCAAGTGGTGTATACGTGACAAAGAATAAGGTTGCGTTAGATCACGAGGCCTGTCTTTGAGTCAAGTGGTGTATACGTGACAAAGAATAAGATCGCGTTAGATCATGAGGTCTGTTATTGAGTCAAGTGGTGTATACGTTACAAGGAGTAGGATCGCCTGTCCAACCTAGTGGTCTCTTTTCGGGTCCTCCGGGCTCCTCCCACTGCTAAAGACCCCTACGCGCAAGCGAATTGTTGAAATAAAATTTAATCATATGTTTGTTCCGAAATAACCGATTTTGTGTCTTACGTCACGATAAGTTATTGACTCCAGTGGATCTGTTATATTTCAAGTTTTTCTATGTTTTTTCCTTCTTTTTCTCACTACATTAGAAGAATTCGATTATAATGTTTTTTTAAGTCGTCATCCTTAACTATCAAATAAAGTACATATAATTTTTGACGTAACATCAGTAAATCTGGTTTATTTCAAAATTTTCTATGCTTTTTCCTTTTTGTACTCACTACATTAGAAAAATTCGATTGTGATATTTTTAAGTCATCACCCTACTATCAACTAAAGTACACGGAATTTTTGACGTAAAATCAGTAAATCTGGTTTATTTCAAATTTATTATGAAGTTTTAGGTCATTGCCTTATAATCAAATGAAGTACACCACATGTTTGACATGAATAAAAAAAATATACTCGTCACATTTCTGACATGGTTAAAAAATAAAGTGAATTTGATTATATTTTATATGTTTACTTTTTGTCCCAGATGAATATTCCTTTAATAACGTTCATTCGTTAATTGCCTAGGGAATTATTACTAATAGCATAATACGCCTACGCAAACACGTTAGTTTAACGACCTAATTTTCTGCAACAACTGGGACAATGACGACGAATATATGCGTCATATACAGTGTGTTATGACGGAAATTATGCCTGTACTCCATCGAATTCCTAGTCTCGGTCACCCAGAACCTCCTAGTCTTCAACGTACTTAGTAGGGTCTGGGTCTGTTGTCAACATTTGACAAAAGGTTTGTTTTTTTATGTGGTTGATTATCCAGTAAATTTCGCAAAGTCAAGTAAGAGCTACGCCCTTCCCGAAATAAATCCCATAATTCATGCATTATTGTTATAAACAATCATGAATCGTGACGACGAATTAGAATTTATTTAAAAACATAGATATGATCCATGAAAAGAGAAATTTTACCCCCACAAAAAATAAGAGTGTTGGATATTGAACTACCAATGCAAATGGATTTTCTGAAATGGCAGTTCTTAAATTATTTTCATGGGCGTCGACATCTTGTTTTAGGGCTAGTTACCTCCTTTAGATTTTGTTCAGGATAATTTAGAAGACCGGGTAATCTAGTCAATGACCTATATTATTCTCAAATGTTGACACACATCCAAACTAATATTCGTAGAATATTTGTCTAAATGATAGAGACTATCGAATTCCTACTATCAACGGTTCTTTTACGTGTCCACCAACGTGTGCATGGGGCCTATGTTATTTGCCTCGCTCCCCGTATCAACGACAAGGTATACGACGGAAAATTCCAAGGAACCTTCCCTACTAACACTGATCGACATTGCATCGCCAACGAAATCAATGTGAGGAAGTGGAATACAATAGAGTTAATGAAGACGGCCAGTGGCAGGAAATCGGTTTATTGTGCACGGAGAGATTTGCCGACAGATTGTCACTGTGACGGCGACAAACAATGCACGTTAAAGAACCCTTTAGGCCTGAAGCAAAAATCTCTAGATTGCTCAGAAACACAATTTCGCTAGACAGTTCTCTTTCATTTGTATTTATGGAATATCCCTTTGAATCGATGGTACTATATATTTTCATTTTAATACATCTTATTTCTGGCCAATTTAATCCTCTGCGATGAGCTTTATTTCCAAGTTGTAATGATTGGTCTGACTTTCATAATAAAAACACCCCTTTATTTCTGACCTTATCTTCAATTATTCGCATCTAATGGTGAATTTAATCATAGGTTTTATTGCCTCAAGTCACACTCTAAGCTTTTCGTCCAATGACGTATTCCTCTAATTGGTTAACTTTACAATCTCGTGTTGGCTTCATTGCACTTTTTCTTTTGATTAACAAAAAACACTTTTCTTCTGATGAGATATACCCAGTGGCAGTTGTAATGGTATGTGTGAATTGATATCGAGATATCGTTATATCCATATATCCATTATTTGTTTCATGGATATTGTGTAACATACAAACCCGTTACTAAAAATCATGATCTAAAGGATATATTTATAGAAACGGGTTCTTTAGCACCAGGGAAACCGGGGGAAACCCACAAGTCTGGACAGGCAACCCGACTCGGGATATCGTAATATATATATTTGTTTCATATATATTGTGTAACATAGCTAACCGTTAATAATGCCAAGTAGAGATGGTAATGGGGTTTAACGTCATCTCAACCGAATTTGGTTATTTCGAGACCAACATACGATTCAATTTGATTGTGTTAGACATGCTACCATACTTCTCGTCACGTAGCAGTGTAAACATGAAACCACGTCACTTTATTCAAGGACAGAGCGTATGTACCACGCACGCGTTAGACCACTTGACCACCCATGTGGTAAATGAATGTAATGAAATTGAATGGAGTTTAACGTCTCGTAGTTATTTTGAGACTAACATACGATTAATTTTATTCTAAAGTCACGCCTTTATTAATTTATGATTTATTAATGTTAAATATTATAATTCATAATTAATACAACCACGCCCAGTGTTAGCACGGAGTTGGATCAGGCTATATAAAATTATGGTCATCTACACACTTATTGGATCATACAAGTCTCCACATTGCTCAAGAAAGTTACCGAAATAAGTTTTATAATAGAAAGACAAATAATGGGCATTATTCAAGAACATTGTTATAAGTAATTGAGCTTAACAAAACAGTTCGAATTTCTAAATTTATATGAATACAACAATAAAATTACAAGCTGATTTATGACAACAAATTATTCTGGATCACATACACCTATCGCCGCTTTCAAGATATCACTTTGCCCCCCCCCACTCCCTCCTAACAAAAATACCTAGCTAGTTATAATTGTGTTTTCATAAGGACAGATTATCACATTTATCGCGCTTCAATTGATCTGAGTCAGTGAAGAATGAATTAATTAGTCTATATAATATGACATTTACACGAATTTAATTGCTCGGGTAACATTTTATTTTTTCACATAAACAATTTTTTGTAAGTAATTAGTTCAGGAGACGCGGAAACGATTTTAATATTATTCTAAAAACTGTTGTAGATTTTTATTGTCTGCGAAATCATATCATTGTGTTTCATACTTCCTTCTTCCTTGCTGTTTTATGATATTGTATTTTACAGAAACCCCACATATGGCTATATTCCAATTATATTAATTAGAAAGTTAATTGGCAGGCACCCATATGAGTGGTGTTAGTAAAATAAAAAAATAAAAAAAAAAAATAAAAAAAAAAAACCAAAAAACATAACGTTATGGAATAGAGTAAGGTTTAAAATTTGGTCAAAACTGTTCTTTTAATACGAAACTGCAAAAAGAATTACCTTTGGTACGAAACTGCAATAGCCATCAGACATATGTGCTACCTTTAATACGAGACTTCAACTACCGATTGTCAGATGTGCTACTTTTAATACGAAACTGCAACAACCATTAGACATATGTGCTACCTTTAATACGAGACTACAATTACCAATTGTGAGATGGGCTACCTTTAATACCAAACTGAAACAAGCATTTGAACTTAATTCAACTCAGTGCGTTATCCCATTTATCGAATACTTTATTTTAACTCGGTATAAACACAGTAATTCTTATGACTGGCGAAACTGACAAATATAAGCTAAAATCAATAATAACTGTCTGGCAATCGAAATTCGAATCCAACACAATCCACAAATAGTCATTTTTAACAAATATACTTGCATAGTCTTAGCAAGAGTTGGACCTTTTGCTTATAGCGCTAACAGTGGTCGACAATAAAGATAAACATATTCTGCAGATTATATTTCAAATTGTAATCATTTCATACAAAATTGTAATCATTTCATACAAAATTGTAATCATTTCATACAAAATAGAATCCAATTAAGGATAATTGAAATTTTAACAACACGTCGTAATAGCGACATGAAGGTACTACAGGTATATCCTGATAGATATGGCATGAAACCCATATTAAAAACTAAAATGATAAATAAGATCCATAGGCGTATATACACACATTAGTAAAGCACAGGCCCAGTGTAAGATTTACGTCTGTATTAATTCAGATTCTCACAATCGTCTACAGAAGGTTGCCCAAGAGGTCACGTTTTCTGCATTGCAGCTTTAAACCATCTGTTGAATTAAAATTCCCACGCGATACAGCCCAGACAAAGTATCTTTTCTCGATGAAAACAAAAACTGTAAACGTTTTTTTGGGTGCTCCCCTAGACTATGCTGAAAACTGATTTCAAGATGAAAAATATATTAATGCTGTCAGCATATTTTTATCTGTCTGTGATTTGTATTCATTTATTCTAAGACGAAATCAGGATTAGTAATTGTTTTTTTTTTGTATATCACAGTGATAAAGATCATTGTCATCGAGATTATAGCGCCACCATCTTTTGTTTTCGTTTTCAATCAATGTAATTTACGTCTTAGATTTCTGCGAAAACATACACATAAAAAATGAACAAATAATTAAATTCTACTTTCTCTTTATAAAATGTATGAACACTAGACAAAAATAGAGTATCAAGAGAAGAAAATGACGCACTAATACTTTTTATTGTAAGGTGAACCGCCCACTTACTTTCTACCAAACAACCCAATTACTCACATATCGGTTAAAGTTTGCAATAGCCACCTACGATTTTATGAATTAAATTTAAAGACGCATTATGTAAGATTTGGATAACGAGCTGATTGTTCTTGCTATAGTAGTCAAAATGTAGATGCTGAAAAATTATTATATTGAAAATTAATGCCAAATTACTCGATTATGAACGGGGTTAGTCTGGAAAGTCACCTTTTTATAATAATATAAAAAGTCTCGATTATCCATTTTTAAATTAAATTAATAAAGAAATGGAATGAATTGGGGATTAACGTCCTACTGTTCTGCCCCGACTGGGCTAATGGAGACGGGCATTCGCCATACAGTGTGTGATGAGAGAAATTTTGCCCGGACAGCGGCGCTACGGCCTTCTGCCAAGGGATCGTTTACGTGTACGTCAATGTGTACACGGGACCTCGGTCTTTCCTCCCATCCGAACGACTATACGTTGCCCCTTGCCAAACGCTCTTTCCTCCATCACACGGGAAATTTCTCGACCACGGGGCCTCCGGTTAGCGAGCCAACGTCTTGCTCACTGGACCGTCGTAACTCCCGCTTACATATGCATATTTAAACTAAGCATTCGAGTATCGCCCCTTTCGTGCTTCGGATGTTAGCTAACGTTTGGTTAAATTTTTCTGTAAAATTAGTAGGCCTGCAGCCAAAATTTCTAGCTTGCTTAGAAACACAATTCCGCTACTAGGTCCTCCCTCATAAACCAACTATACATTTTTGGAAAGCTTATAATACCAGGAACTAAATCCAGGGAGTTCCAAGCAAAATGTTTGTACAAACTCGATTTAGGGCCAGATGAAAATTGTGATAATATATAAAAACGTTGAAGTATATTTGTATATATCAAGAATCAAAGAGCTTGCGGTTATTTCTTTTCTTGTATCTTCTTTTATGTAGTTTCTTGTATTTCTCATATAAACAGTGATTTAGAACATTGTTCGAGAGTAGTATTGACCATTTGAAAGTACACATCGTGAAGTCAGAATATTGAAGTTCATAATATTAAAGCGCTGCTATGGTATATGGTATCCCGTAAATAAAATATTGTTTAAAGATACATTATGTAAGATGTATATAAAGAGCTGGTCGTTCTTGCTATAATAGTTCAAAAATAGATAATGCAAAATGAATATATTGAAAATGTCAATCAAATTACTTTATTCTGTTTGTAGTTTAGAAAAGACGTGTGCGTAGCTTTTTTCTTATCGTAACCACACGGTACTGGTATATTCGAGACTTAGCCTATTTTCTTCATTTTTAAATTAAATCATTAATGGCCGAAGCGATCTAATCTACTTAAAATCGGAGCCATCAGATGGCAGCGAGAGTTGATTATCCTCTTGCCATGTTAATAAATGTATAATTAATAATTAATATTACAATTCAGGCCTAAATAGTGTATCTTTAAATAAATAAATACAGTTGAATAATATGACATTTACTGACCACTTGTTAAAAATGTATTTATTTCAACTGTTTCAGGATGCATATGCCAATAGCTATATAAGTATAAACGGTTGTATCAACGCTTTGATGACAGTGTTTAAAGAAAATCTTATTGTAATTGGTTTGGTGGCATTTTCCGTTGGTTTTATAGAGGTATTTCAACTACTTTCATTCTACTTTGCAAATACAAATGAAAGGAAATGAGCTTTTAGTCCACTTTGTCATAGCCTACGGTAGGCAGGGGCGTGGTGACCTATGATTTTGCATGAGGAACAAGATCTCGCCCGAGCCCCAAAAAAGGAAGATTTACTTGCGTGGGTGTGTGTGTGGGGGGGGGGGGGCTAGCAGTGCCGCCGGGTAATATTGGACTGTGTGGAACATGCTAGAATCGATTTGTGGCATATCTGACCCAGACATATGTTTGACACTGACACTGATTTTTTTCTATGTGCGAGGGAATGCAAAAAATCCAAACCATGACGTAAAGCGCGTCATAGCGTCACTTTCACTTAGCCCCTGCCCTACGGGTGATTGAAGACGGACATACGCTATGCGCTGTGCCTACTCTTAATCGAAGTTTAACTGACAATGGTAGCCTACATTTACAAGTACAGTGATACTTAATTATCAATGGTCCTCGGTCCCCGGGTGCACTACTCACAGCAGGGGTGGAGGACTGGCTGGAAATTCAGAAGAACTTTTTTATCAATACCGGGTTGAACTTTGGATAACCCGGTTAGTTAGCCAGTGTCTTTCACTCCCTGGGTCACTTTTGTAAATATCACAATAATAGCCAGAGAATCTACAATACACAGTCATCTATGGTGGCTGAAAGCGTCCATTTAGATCGTCGTGTTTCTAGATACAACGCCACAGTCGCCGTTAAGCCAGCTAAATTTTTTTTCTCCTGTTGCTATTATTGGAATGTTAGTCCGTCCCGACATGACCAAGTTTGTGTCGAGTGCCCTTAGCAAATTTTATAATTTCATTGACATAAATGAAAGCTGCATTAGTCGATTCAAAATTAATAGTTTATCAAGTAATCCCACTGGACTACTTTTATAGGAGGTGGCATTATGTAGTATACTTCTTTAGCAAATCTACGTAACTCTATCATAGCACAATATTAAGAGAGAGAGAGAGAGAGAGAGAGAGACGGGGGGGGGGGGTTAACGTCCACTCGACACAAACTAGGTCATTTCGGGACTAACACATGGTTCAATTGTATTTCAATAATTCGTTTGAGCGTAGGGGCCTTTAGCCGTGTGAGGAAACCGGAGGACCCGGAGAAAACCCACGAGGTTGGACAGGCGACCCTACTCCTTGTCACGTCAATATTAAGAGAATACCCTAGATACACACTGATACCATTTTCCTCGTACTTGAACCTGAGCTTCATAACCAAATCACTCAGGATTAATCTCTATTGAATAACCAGCCATTAGATTATTTTTTAAATTAATGGAACCACAATGTTCAGCGCTGAATGAACCATGGTGGGGCCCTGAGCACGCGAGAGAAAAATGGGGTTTAACGTCCACTCGATACAAACTAGATCATTTCGGGAATAAGAAATGGTTCAATTTTATTTCAATAATTCGCTTGCGCGTAGGGGCCTTTAGCAGTGGGATGATACCGGAGGAACCGGAGAAAACCGACGAGGTTGGACAGACGACCCTACTCCTTTTCTCGTACAACCGGGGAATCGAAACCACGCCAGCTGACTCAATGACATACCTTATGATACAGCGCGCACGTGCTAACCATTCTTCCATCCAACCCCCGACAATGAAAATATATGGAAGGGTATCGCTGCCAATATTAAATGCTCTGCTACAATGTCTTTTCTATTGATTATATGTAAAAAGTGCGATGTACAAGGTCATAATACCGGTAATGATAAAGTCAAAATACCTGTAAAGCAAGAGTTAAATGTAAAACGTCAAATGTTAAGTGTTAAATGACAAATGTTTTGTGGGAAAATGCTTTTTTTGACGTGTCTACATTTTACATTTCTCTCATTACACTTTACATTTGCTCACTGTCACATCCCATTTGTCCTTCACGCATTCTACATAGCATGTTTCGCACAGCATCAACTCGCATATGCAAATGTAGGATATCACGTGACTTATTATTAACATATACGGAAACCTGGCACACTATAAGCCCGAACAAGGATATTCACGACACTATAACAGGAAATCAGCCTAGCACTCAAAAAAAATTTACTCACCTTGACACTTTGGATGGCACTTTATGATGATTACGGGGGGGGGGGGGGGCTGTGCAATGTCCAAATAGAAAATTTCAGGTATCATGTTACATATTAGTGAAAATCACATTCATTTTTGTTTGTAAATATGCAAATAGTTTTCTGGTACAATCGTATTTTCATAATTTCAATCCAATAAATATCAAACTACTAGAGGGGTATTCAAGTAAAAATACTGGTCTAAATACTAAATTCCAGATACCATGTTAAGTATCACTGATTGCTCTTTTCAAATATGCAAATAATTTTCTGGCACATTCATATTTGCTTAAGTTTACAAAATAAGATTAAAGTTGAAGTGAAGGAAGGGGGGGGGGACTGAACTACTAAACTAAAATAAAGATACACGGCTTAATCAAAAATTCTCTATGTCCATACTAAAAGATGTATAGTCATTCATCTCTTTAAATATATTATTTATTTGTTGGGCACCATGCTTATATATTGTTGTTTTTTTTAATGGATCAAAGTAGGCTACTCAACTCTGTTTATAGGGAGACCGGAAAGAGTGGGGGTGTATTAAATATAAAAATACGGGTATTAATACGAAATTCCAGTTATTGTGTTATGTTTCTTTGGCTGCTTGAATCTATCAATTATTTCCTGGCACATTCAAAATTACGCACGGTCGTCTAGATATTTTCTTATGGTGTGCCAGCTTGATTTCTTTTGTCGTGCGGTGAATATCCTTATAGTGTGCTTGTGCCGGGTTTCCATATATGTTAATAAGTCACGTGATATCCTACATTTGCGTATGCAAGTTGATGCTGTGCGAAAGCTGCTATGTAGAAAGCGTGAAGGACAAATGGGATGTGGCAGAGCGCAAATGTAAAATGTAATGAGAGAAATGTAAAATGTAGACACGCCAAAAAAAGCATTTTCCCACAAAACATTTGTCATTTAACACTTAAAGGGACAATAACACCTTTGCTGGCTTGACAGCTCCAGAAAATAAAAAAAATAGCCTTATTCTAAGTACTAGATGTGTTAGTGTCCTACCTGTCGTGTAAATTATCCATTAAATAAAAATATTTTTAAATCCAAGTCACATTTGAAAAGCCTTACGTTAGGCTTGCTGACCAGAATAAAGATTGGGACATATATTATTCAGTTACAACAATAGTGGTATTAAGCCTTTAACATTTGACGTTTTACATTTAACTCTTGCCTTAGAGGTATTTTGACTTTATCAATATCGGTATTAGGACTTTGTACATTGCACTTTTTACATATAATCAATGGAAACGACATTGTCGCAGAGCATTTAATATTGGCAGCGATACCCTTCCATAAAAATAAACCTAGTTTTAATTTAAGCAGGTTTCCGTGGGTTATCCTCAGGAGGCTGATCATTCAAGACATCTTCATTCTTTCTGTCATCAAAACTTCATCATCTTATTATTACTATTGTCATGTTTGATAATTTTGCCTCTTGGAAAAATAAATGAATAAATAAATTCACCCATAGTTTACATAAAATAAGGAAATCACGTGTTGTTGTTTTTCAATAACTACCTACCAAGTTTTGAAAGGAAATCTCGAATCTCTGACTTCCATGAATGGCTGACACGCGTAATCTCAGATCTCGTGGAATACGGAAGTCGCACTAGGTTGTTCTTCGAAAAGAAAAGAAAAGTATTAAAGAATTGTGAACAGAAAGGTGGAATGGCGACAATATATGCCCACCTAAAATTTAAGATGCATTATCTAAGATTTAGATAAAGGGCTTGTTATAGATAATGAAAAATAAATTACTTTATTTTGAGATAAGTTATGAGTGAGAGAGAGAAAAATGGGTTTTAACGTCCACTCAACACAAACTAGGTCATTTCGGGACTAACACATGTTTCAATTTTATTTCAATAATTCGCTGGCGTATAGGCTTCTTTAGCAGTGTGAGGAAACCCGGATGACCCGGAGAAAACCCACGAGGTTGGACAGGCGACCCTACTCCTTGTCACGTACAACCGGGGATTCGAAACCACGCCAGTTGACTTAATGACAGACTTTATGATACAGCACGCACGTGCTAACCATTCGGCCATCCAACCCCTCTCAGTTATCAGTGTTTGAAGTCCCGATTGTAAGTCCATTCATTGAGCGACCTCCATAGTGACCATAGTCACCTTTTCGAGGATAGCGAACACTATCTTTTACACTGTCCAAACTTCAATACTTTTCGACGAAAAACCATTTCTACATTACCTGATGAGTATAAGAACAGCATAACTCTACTCTATGGCTTGCATGACTCCACAAACGAAATTAATAACCTTATCTTTACAACAGTTCAATCATACTTCAATTTATCTAAACGATTTTAAACTATTATTGTTGTTATTATTATTATTAATATTATTATTATTATTACATACTATAATACTTTAGGTGTATTCAACTAAGTAAGGGTTGTATATATTGTATATACTGCTTTTCATTATTAGTATATAATTTGTATTGTAGATAGGGGTCTGACATAGGCATTTTGCCTGTTCCCCAATTTCCCATTCATTTATAGTGAATAAAATATGTTTATAAAAAAAAATAGATTATAAGGCGCAGATGGTCTATTCCGTTCAATAGCTTAGTCATCCGATATCAACTGTTTAAAATACAAATCTATATTTTTCGTATCGTTTTTTTTTATACTTTCGGTGGCCAACACTACATGAAGATCGGACAGGTTGTAGTGGGGGTCGTGGGGGGGGGGGGGGGTCGCGTGAGCGGTCATACGAGCGGCTTTCGACCCTATGAGGTCAGACATTTGATTAACCAATCAGCGTTGATGTTTCTAGTGGGAACTCGCCACAACAGACCAGTTCATTGGCTAATCTCTCACATCAACCAAAACGCGGGTTATATAACAACTCTTCCAGAT